GCATGCGTATGTTGGCGTTGGCGGTATGTTTAGGATACAGTCAATTGTAAATGGCTTCTAAACTTGTGTGATTGGGGTGTATGTGCGTGATGGGTGTGTCATGTGTGTGCTTGTGTGTGTGTATTTGTTTAGGGTACATTTATTTATCAATTCAGTTTTTGTATGTATGATACTTGTAACTATATGTAACTCCAAAGTGCTCAGTGTCTGCATAGCGTCCATTTTCTGCTCTCTGATGCTTCCTGCCTGTTCGTTTCTTACATTTTTACATAAGTTAGCATGCGGTCTCACATCCTGAGAAATGGTAACATAACTTCGACCACCTTTAACATTTGCAGTCACTCAGCTGTTTCTTTTGTCTTTGATTTGAAGACACTGGTTTTTCTGCTCTTGTAAAATTTTCTTTCTTTCTCGGTCTCTTCTCTTACCAACCCCCCAAACCAAACTCATTGTCATTTAGTTGGTTCTGACTCAATGCAGCCCTTTAGGACAGAGCAGATTAGCCCCGTGCGTCTTCCCAAACCGTAAATCTTCCGAGAAGTAGAGTACCAGCCACGTATTTCCCCTGCACAGCCGCTACAGGGCTCTGCCAGTCATTCAGTTAGCAGTTGAATGCTTAACCGGTGTGTCACGTGGGCTCCCTGATCCTTTCTTGCTACTCGTTCATGAAAACTAAAGGTTCCTCTTGAAAACATGTTTTCCAACACAGTGTGAATGTCCAATCTTGCTAGAATTCATATAGTTAGACAAATTATTTATTTCCGCAGTTAAACAGTTTCGGTGAATAAGTTGTTTTATCTCCATAAGAATTTCTTACATAGGTGTACTTTGCCTATTTAAATGGTTAAAATAACTGACTTTGTGTTTTCTGTTTTATTTTCATCTTCTACAAGTGAAACAGTCATATATACAGCTACAACGGACAGATTTCTTGGGACAAAATACAAGAAAGTGGTGTACCGTGAGTATGAGGATATAACATTCACAAACCAAGCAAAGAGAAGTGAGGACCAAAAACACCTGGACATACTAGGTATTGGACTGGGTACTTGTACGGACGGTACTTTAAGGTGGGGTTCCAGTTTTTCTTCTGTGCCCAGCCACTAGAGCAGTGGTCAACCTTCCTGCTGCC